CCCTCACCCCGACTCGCCGTCTAACATAACTGGAACGGGTAGGAAGGTCGGTGCACCCCTGTCGTTTTTAAACGTAGGAGAAAAGGAGTCTCACGAGAAAAAAGCAATAGAGTGACCTCCAGGAGACCTTTCAGTACATTGCAATGCTGGTTATTATGTCCAGAACTTGTTCTTCATTATTGGATATTTGGCTGCTCTCATGAAAAGCAGAACACAGTGTCCTATGAGTTTGGTAGGACTGACTGAAATGAAAATATGATGGCACTGTACAAACAGGACCCTTAATATATTCATATGTCATGCCAGTTTCCATACCAATCTGCAAAAAAGTACTAAATCGAAATGCTGATACTGGTGCATATGCATCAGGAAAGCAAATTAGGACGAGAGAAACCGGGTTTTGAAGATATCACTGCCTGAAAGATATTCTAGGTGTGATACATTTGGTAGAAGACATGCATTTTTGTTAGAATCGTCATCAATAATCAAGTATCTTGAAACTTTGGCTCGCATTGCACTGGAATTGGTGGTGAACATGCGCCATGCCAGAGGCACTCTGATTTATGGTGCAAAATTGCACCTGGAATTTGGTACGTGATTTTGCCATTACAGCTACCATATGTTAAGCTACACACACACACGCACGCACACACACCCACACCCACACACCCACACCCACACCCACACCCACACCCACACCCACACCCACATATATATATATATATATATATATATATATATATATATATATATATATATATTCACTCAGTCTCTGAGCACATCATCTTACGTGATCACTACGCTGCTATTGCACTGTGATATGATGCGAGAACCGATGTTGATGTGACAAAGCCGCCAGTGAGCATCTCCCATGAAAAAATATCTTAAGTGGTCCTGCTTTGTGTCCAGCAACGTCCACCCATAGATTCTAACTGTGACTGGCATATGTATCACGTAATGCAGCTAAACATCGTCACACTGCTGGGAGATACTGCTCAGTCCTCAACTCTTCTGTTCCACTGCTCAGGGCCACGCACCGCTCCGCGCTGGCTACGACGCTGCACGCGCGCGTCCGTGCCGAGTTGATTCAGGTAACAACATGGTGGACCACGCCACAAATATACATTTGACAGCCTAGGCTGCAGCTGTTCTCACGCCAAATCCGGTACATACTTATGTTCAATGCCTACTAAGCAGCCTTTAGGATCTCAAGCATCCACTTCGTGCTGAAACATCTCACGCATTCGCGCGGTAAAAAAGTCCCGCCGTCAAGCACCCTTGAAGCACCCTCACATATCCGCTTTGCGGCATGTTGCAGTCATCATGTGGCACGCAAATAACAAAGCGGGAGCCCGTGTTATTTGCGGTGACACACCAGTTTAAACATAGATATGTGAAAACCGAAATGTGGCACTCATCATTTTTGGAAAAGTCTCGCCTCTGCCTGCCCCTCCAAGCATATGATTGGCATCGATCGTCTCAACGGTGTAGGTCTGAGATCGAAAGAGCGGCTCCCTAGTATGCTGTGAATGTCCCCCTGATGTGAAGAGAATGGTTGGCTAGGTACGAATTGCCCGAGCCTGGTGACCACAGTGTTCCGATAATTACTGTGGTAGTTGGCGGTGACATCTCCAGACACAATGGCAGGGTCAGCTGTGTTCGCTCAGAGCTGTTCCTCTTGCTCACCCAAGCCCGTTGTGAAGCCAGCTCGCATGTGGATTGGAACTCAATGCATCTTACCCACCATAACTTTTGAGATCCGCTGCGTAGGTGGTGGAATCCACAGAGACGTGACGCCGGATTCGTGAATGGGATTCGTGAATGGCGTCTGCAGAGCTCGTGGTTAGGGAGGCGTCACTTGCCGACCCCACGGCAGCCACCGCAAACTTTTCGGGGATCGTTCGCCACTTGGAAGCCGAATATGGGTGTGAACGTCTTGTGATGCACTTCGTTCAGAATCGCCACGCCGTACACGTACCCGTACTGCGCGGTAAGCTGCTTGTTAAGCTGGTTTATGTGGAGCCAGTCGGTTGGGGGCCGGCTTCTGCCCATTGAACAGCAGAGCGCCTTGGTCGGACTGGGAAGAGCACCGCTGTCTGGAGAGCGTTTGGTAAGGCTGCTACATGTGACTGCGTGTTGGTGTATCGGCTCATGTTTACGGTTGGTCTCTGAACCTCCGTCTGGGAATGGTGAGTCGTGACAACCAAATCCGGCCAGCATGACGTGGCGCCTGGCGTGGCGTTCAATAATGCGCGGCGAGCGGACGGGCGTGGCCAGATTGGTGTGTGGTCGAGCGTCCTCACTGACGGTAATGGCCCTAGTGGTGGCGCCCGCCGATCCAACGATCTCGTTTATATGACAAGCCTATTCAGGCCTGTAGCAAACAAGGGGCCTCTCGGAGGCTCGGCGTTGGCGTCGGGAGATTAATCCGGCATGGCTTGTCTACATTGAACGGGTACGTAACCCTTGAATACGACTGCCCAAGTTGAGGACCTGGGTTTTGACAGCTTCTTGTAACATGTAGTCAATAAAGCCCTCGGATGGTATCATTTGCGAATGTCAAAATTGGGTTATGATGACGACGAACATTTAGGTCGCGCTTTGCTTTACGTATGGTGCGCGTGACATGTATCACCTTGTATGGCAGAAATGGCTGATGAACTGACTACAGCAAAAGCGCTTAGAAATTTTGACTGCACTTCGTTCTTCAAACTACTAATTATTTGTTTCCTCTTAGACGTGCCTCAATTATGACGCAACTATTATAGTTGATGCGTTTGGGGTGGGATAATACGTCACCGCTGTTTTCGTTTTGCCAACCATGCCCCAGTCCATTCAATTGTGGAAAGATCATCTTGAAATTTAGCCACTTTTCCTATTTCATTTTTGCATGCATGCGTGTCAAAATATCAACACTTGTTTGTGACCAGAGGTCGATCCAGTACAGGTTTTTGGAAGGTACGTTTGGTAATTTTTGACATCTTAACACATGCGGAACTAATGTGCAATTAATCTATATGACTACATTTTTGGCCGTTTTGATCATAAGGACACGTTCAACATACAAGAATTATACAGCCGATGATCACACCCCTAAACACAGCACTGCATGAAGCATTAGCTACAGCTTTCTAAAATCTGACGCCTGAAAGTAATAAATAGAAGCACCGAACTCGCAAAAAGCTAAAAAAGCGCATGTGTTGATGTCCTTTTAAGAAAGTCCTTGAAACACAAATTATTTCATTTTTACGAAAATTATCATGCATAACGTGCAGTTTCAAACCAATTAAACTCAAGACGCAATGAATTTAGTTCCACCCCCTCTTCACTTTTGTGTGCGCCATCATCAAATTTGCCGTTCTTTACATTTCAACAGACATTTCACGTAATCGAAAAGTCGTGGAATGACATGGTAGGCATTTTCATCTCTTATGCAACAAAAAAGACCGTGTATAGGTACTTTGAGGCATCAGGAATTCAGAAAGTCCCCAATTAGGTTTCCGCAAAAACATACCGTGGAAATTAATCCAACTGGTTTGGGGCAAAATTGCTTTTTTGTTGTCATATCACTGGCTTATGTACAAACTTGGATCAAATTACTATTCAGTTTAGAGAGAAACCGCACGTTAATCTTAAGAATGACCCAACAATTTGCACAACTGTTTTGCCTCGGTAGGAAAGATGGAATTTCTTCCGCTTCATGTGTGAATGATAGCACGAAGAAAATAAATGCATGCTTATGCACATTGAAAAATGCTTGGACGCATAATTATCGAAATGATAAGGAACTGCATAGCGCGCGCGGCTGTGCATTGGCGGTATACGTGCATGCAAAACTGTGCACGTAAATTGGCATCTGCGCTGGATGCAGCATATGATGTACGCAGGACTTATGCCTCGACCGACGTGTTCCTGTAGATATCAAAGGTGCGCTCTGCAATTGTTGGCTAAGTATTCTGCCCTCATCATGTTGTGCCCCGGGCATGCCAAGATCGGTGTGAGCTCTGACCTTTGTTGTCTGTTCTGTTGAAACTCAAGACCCGTCGCACTGACGGGGATTGATGATAAGGGCGGAGTATGATACCTGGGAGCATGAAAGTTAAATTCATGTCCCATGCACGCTAGATAAATGACATTTCTCTTCTAAAGCAGCCACATTGCTTCAAACGCATCGCCGACCATGCAAACGTTTGAAGAAGTGTGTTAAAAACATGCCTGCGCGTTTCTTGACATACCTCAACGTATCTGTGTTTGTCGTGTTTGAATAGGCATATTCTGCATTAACTTGACGGTACTAAAGGTGCGCGCTTTATGCTTTACGACGCGGTCACAATCGAGCTACTGTCTCCAACTTGAAACGCAGTGCTGTGAAACCGTTTTATTTTGACGGAAATGGACGCCCTCGCCGACACCACATTGTCAGGTAAAGCGACTGCCTGCCGCGTCACAGAAGGGCTTGACTGGGTCACAGAGACCGCCAGTGGCGGCCGCGGCTGTCGCCTGTCGCTGTCTGCTCGAGCGTCCCTGCAGGGATCATACCTTTTGCCCGCCGAGATCAGATCACTTAGACGCCAAGATCACATCATTTAGGCGCCGAAGACACCGCACGTCTGTCTGGATCAGGATCAGAGGGTCTGCCTGTCGAGCTGCCGAGGTCGTTACGCGGCGTGCCTGTACCAGGAGCAGAGCGTCCGCCTGCCGGGGTCAGATCAACCGCCTGCCGGGGTAAGATCGTCTGCTTACCAGGGTCAGGTCAGATCTTCCGCCTGTCGGGGTCAGCTCCTCCGCCTGCCAAGGTCAGATCGTCCGCCTGCCGCGATCAGATCAACCGCCTGTACCAGGAGCAGAGCGTCCGCCTACCGGGGTCAGATCCTCCGCCTACCGGGGTCAGATCGTCTGCCTGCCGGGGTCAGATCGTCTGCATACCAGAGTCAGATCGTCCGCCGGCCAGGGCCCAAAAGTCTGCCTGTCCGAGTCAGACCGTCTTCGCATCAGGTCAATCAGTGAAAGAACTGACTGGTGCGCCGCTCCTCGACCACGGGGTTGGGGTTGAGCAGGTTGCGCGCCGGCAGGTACTTGGGGTGGAAGGGTCCCAGGTTTCCGAGGTTGGTGGAGCTGACGGGGCTGTCGCAGCGGGCAGCCGGCCGGCGCAGCAGCGCCAGCGTCGGCCGCCACCGGCCGGCCACGCGCAGCCGCGGCACGCGCAGACTGCGCTGCACCTGCGTCAGCGAGGCGCGATGAACCAGGGAGTACACCACCGGATTGACGGCCGAGTGGGCGTGGCCGAGCAGCAGCGCGAACGGCAGCAGCAGCGCCGTCGGCCGGCTGGCGTAAACCAGGTGCGCCAGCCCGGCCAGCGTAAATGGCAGCCAGCAGGCGGCGAACACCACCACCAGCACGACCAGCGTGTTGGCCAGCTGCTGGCGCGTCTTCAGCGAGTAGCTGCTGGTGGAGCGCAGCAACGGCGGCCGACAGCGCGGCTGCCGGTCGGAGGGCGAGCGGCGACCGCCGGCTCGCGCGCGTGCCGTCCGCCGCCCGCCGCCGCCGTCGCCCGAGGGCCGCAGGCGCACCAGCTCCAGGCTGGCGTCGTCGCTGTCGTCGCGCTGCACCACCTTGGGCGTGAGGCCCGACTGCGCGTTGCGTGACATGATGATGACGCTGTTCTGGGCGGCGGCGGCCGGCCGACAGCCGGCGCCGGCCGCCAGCGAGTTGGCCGTGCGCAGGTTGCGGCTGACGAGCGTGTGGCAGACGGCGACGACGGCGCACGGCGCGACCACGACCAGCAGCAGGAGCACGGCGCGGTACAGTCGCCCGGCCAGCGGCCACGGCCAGCGCTCCACGCAGGTCACGCCGCCGGCCGCCGGCGCCAGGCGGAAGGCGAAGAGCAGCGGCGCGGCGACGGCGGCAGCCGCCAGCCACACGGCCGCCGTCATGCGCACCGCCAGGCGACGCCGCTCGCCCTGGTTGAACATTTTGGGGCTCTTCATGGCCAGGCAGCGGTCCAGCGAGAGCATCATCAGCGAGTAGGTGCTGGCAGCCACGGCCAGCACGTGCAGCAGCGGGCTGGCCCGGCACCAGGCCTCACCCAGCTGCCAGCTGGCCGACAGCCGCGACGCCACCGTGTCCGGCATGCAGAGCAGCGTCACCAGCATGTCACTGGCGCACTGCGACACCACAATGTAGTTACGGCACTGCAGACTCTTGGACGTTTGCGACAGCGCAAAGATGAGGAAGCCGTTGGCGAGCACGCTGGCCAGGAAGGTGAAGCAGTACAGGGCGGTGAGGACGATCACCGTCACAGGCGTGTGGCCCGGACACAAGCTGTAGCCGTCCTCGGGCCAGCCCAGCAGGGCTTGCTTGCTGATGGTGCAAGCGTTCATCGCTGCCATTCGCCCAGCACGGCGCCGCCGGTGGGGTGGGGCGGTGAGGCGGTGCGCTCAGCAGCGGGAGCCACGGGTCGCCGGCAGTCACCCCGCTAACGCCATCCCACCGAC